GGAGCTCAGACCTGCATTCAAAAAAACCTGTAACGGTTTCTTCGAGCGGTGCTCCCATTGCCGCTTTTCTCTAATTTTAAAAATTATTTTATTCCACGTTAGCGCGCGCAACTGCAACATTTCGAAGGGCTCACCTTCCAGCATAGCCGGGATTCATTGTTACGAAAATTCCCACTGTGGGGACAAACTTCAGGCTCTTGCCCAGTAGTTCTACGGAACCTTTGCCATTTTGTAGGCTCGTCTGTATCGCCTTGATTTGAGCGGATACCACAGAAAGCACCTCTGGATTGATGCGGTTGAACTCATCGAAGCAACCCCAGAAGCCTAAGACCAGTGACAGAAGGAGCAAGAGAAAGTTGAGGAACTAATTTTCATGGGGTGGAGAGCTTAAAGGCACGGGTTCTATTGGCAAAAAGCTTTTGCCTACGGATGCTCCTGTGGAACCATACCAGTTTGCACAAGCCCTGAGAAAATCGTCCCCATTGCCTTGTAGTCCAACCCTTCACCACAGTTTTGGACAACGCAGCGAATTGCTAAGGACTTGGCCAAGTCCTTTACGGTCTCTGTTTTGCCAGTTCCAGCTGGTCCAGCCGGTGCGCCCCCCAAACAGAATGTGAGGGCCGTTGTGAGAGTCATAATGCATCTATCCGTTAGAGGAGTGATGACCAGGTGGCCATTAAGACCTTGGTACTCGTATCCATATCTGCAGCGCACAGAAGCCTGGTTGCATTGGGAGGGTTTCATTAAGCAGTGTAGAGTACACTGCCTCCTAAGTGTCTCCCCATTCAGTCATTTGCTAACCTGAATTGCCCAGTGCATTGCCGTATTTCAATGTCGTCTATCGCTTTGTCCCAGTAGAAGCGCAATTGACTCTCCCATTCAAAGCTGTTGGCGCTGAACACCGCATTCTGGACGAATCTCTCGACAAGGTCACGTGCATGCACGTCCAATATAATAAGGGTGTTCACTTTTTTTCTAGCGCGGTATTCTAGTGGCTTCCGCACCACCTCGATCAACGTGTGGACCTGAGCGTACGTTGCTCACGAGAACCCATAAAGAAGTCAGATCTCTTTTTTATGATGCCTACTTGAGAATAAAATGCTTTGAGCTAAGTTAAGAATGCGTTAACGTTTACTGCAGCGATTTTGAAAGCCACGGCTCGTTACCTGCTGGCGCTGGACTGCCACTTCATCACGAAGCGCATTTTTGTCCCCTTGTTCCATCCTCTCAAATGCGTCCTCAACTCGCCAAGTCCACCAAATACGAGATCCCACACACGCCACCATGCCAAGCTGTTCGGTGATCCACTGCGTCCTGAAAGTACACAAGCTGGAACAGGGGCATCGACTATGCAGTCCCTTTCAAGGCGCAGCTACAACCAGGTTGGCATTTTCTGGGATTAAAATGGCCTGAATAAACTAAGCTCACCTTGGCACGCAGCCGTACATGAACACGCCCTCCTTTGTTATTCTGTGAAGAGAAACTTTCATGGCTTCGTCAACTGTGGTCATCCACTCCTCAG